AGCAGTGTCATGTATTCCTCAGAGGAGGTATCAAGAATGTTGTGCTCATACAGTTACATGCAAGGGTCAGTGAAAAATATCCTAACTTGCTGTTCAAACATAGGAGGTGAGAACATAGGCACAGAACATGTTAGTATATACCAGTGGGCAGGCATGCTCATGAGGTTAACCATGAAGAAGAGGACAGAGTATGTATGGTGTATCCTAGAAAGTAACAAAGGTTTAGTGTAAGGTATGTTTGGAGTTACAACGATGAGAATGGAGAAAATTAAACAGTGCTTTTTTTCTTAGGACTTGTTAAGAAATTCACACACAGAAAAAATCTAATAAAGGGTTTGAGCTGGGATGTACCAGGATCACATCTGTGTCTGCACCATGGTAAGAGGCAGTGATATATTCCCAGTTATAGCTACCAAGGAGGCCAAAGCAGGAAGATTGCATAAGCCCAGTTCAAGTCTTGCTTGGACAGTAGAGTAAGTCACTATTTCTTGAAAGAAAAGCTCTCTGGATCTGGCTTACCACTATGTGATTTCTGTACCCTTTGTCTTGTATATATTTATCTGATTTGGGGACGGGAAGAGGAAACACAGAAACCATGGGACAAAGGGTGAACCAATGTTACTCACTAGACCTGTTGGAAATGGGCTTTACAACTTGGTGTGGATAGGAGTCAGGGAGGGGAAAACAGGAGACAATGAGGGAGGGGTAACACTTTTTCAAAAGAAATGTACTCATGCTGTTGTTTTTAGTGATATACTATATGATATTTTTGTTTCTTTTGTATGTTCTTCCCCCAAGGTTTAACCCTTGTTTTCACTGTATTTGATTCTGGTGCCTTGCATCTTGTATATACATTTTTCTAATTTAGGGAGGGGAAGGGAAATAATGAAATGCTGAACCAAGGATACAGATTGACCCATTGCAACAATGAGACACTGTTTAAAACGACCTTTACGACTTGGGGGGGGGGCAGCTGAGGGAGGAGTTGAGGAGGTGGGGAGGGAAGGGAGGGTAGGGGAAAAACAAAGGAGGAAGTTATGCTCTATAGGAAATGTACTCATTACCTTACTCATGTAACTATAAGCCCTCTGTACAGTATCTTTACAATAACTGGGTTAGAAAAAAGGTAAGATAGGAAGTGAGAAACACTTGAACGCTGGTGTGCATCTTACTCAAATCATCACGGTGGTCTTAACCAGATAGAAGTCATAAGGTAGAAATGTGTTGGTCCTGGGCATCATTGGATTCCCCAGTGGAGATTGTGTATGGAGTATGTGAAAGAGAAATGTGCCATAAATCCGATCATGGGACTGTCTCTACCACTGGGAAGTTGGTGCCTGCCAGCAATCTCCCTTGTAGGGCTTAGGGGAGACTGAAGAGATGAACTGCTGGGTTGCTTGTTCCTAGATACTGTCAGGCCTGTATTAGTATGTAGCTTGCTTGCTGTCAGTGGGAGTGGCAGGGCTACCGTTTGTTTTTAATTATATATTTTTGACACAATCCCTAACAGATTCACTTTATACCAAAAAATGATCTACCCCTGAACTGAAATGTACCAAATAATTATAAAGTAGTTTTCAGTAAGAATTGAAGATCAGCTCCTCAAAACTTGACTGGACACAACTTCAATATTGAGTTATCCATTCAATCTTATTATCTTTGACATTTGGAAAACTTCTTTATGAAGCTACAAAATTCTATCACTAGGAAGCCTCTGGGAGACTACTGTCATAATTTTACAGGTGAAAAAATTGTGAAGGGTAAATTATTATCAAGGCCAATTCCTTGTGATTTTTTCTTTCTAAAGATAATAATGTCTTGCACAGTGTTGATTCAACAAGTGAAAGCTAGCATATATCAACCCAGGACTCATAAAATTGTTTTATGTTGGTATTAAAATAACCTGGTAATTTTTGTGGTAAAATAAAAGGGTTGTTCTGGCAAATTATCTGAAAGAAAATATGGTAGGTGTTCTGGCTAGGGGTGATCACGTTTGCTTCTAAAATTTTTCATTTGTCATTTTTGCATATTTATCCAGAGCAAAATTATCTTAATATTGAGAAATGATAGTTATAATTTCAATGTTTAACAAAGTGCTATGTGATTATTGGCCCTTTATAAATAACTAGCCCTCTAGTATATAAAATTCAATAATTCCATTTCAGAACAAAATGAGGTACCAACTAATATTTTCAAAATGTTAATCACCTATATATAATGGACTTAGTAAGAAATGAGTATTATAGTCCTGGTACTACAAATCAATGCAAAATTAAATCATATTTTTGTGTTTTTTTATTAACTACATTCTTCCCTCATCTTTGGCTTTTCTGATACAATATATAAATATTACCTGCCACATACTATTTAGATAAATGAAGTTATTAAAATTTAGAAAAAAACATTTAAAGGCTTATCCTGCCAATATTTAGCTTTTCGAATAAAGTAGAAAAATCATGTCTGGGATCAGCTTTTTTTCCATTCTCCAGATGAAGTTTCCAGAGGAAAGAAACATTAAATATGTTTTGTGTTTCTTCTATCTATATGACTTTTAACATCAGAGTATTTTTCTTGGCAGATTATGGACCAGATAAGCTATTTTCCTAAACAGGCAAAATCAAATTTCCTGTGTTTCATAGAGAATCTGAGCAGCTATTGAGCTTTTATCAGGTTACTTAGGAAAGACCTATTGTTGGAAATATTAAGTGCTTAATACTAAATGACACAAACGTTCGAGTTATTGGCCATAAATTTTGACAGTTATCAGGTGCTTTGATGAACAATTGCAAACACAGCAGAAACAAATAGAGACACAGAAAGTTTTAGGAAATAAACAGAAGACATGAAACAAGTCAAGGTTTGACAGTAATAACCAGTGAAGTTGAGGACAGTATACTTTCTAGAAATTACCCAAACTGCACAATCAAGATAAAATGTTAAAAAAAAAGATATAGTCTCATAGACCTGTGAGTTTACAACAAAAGATTTCCCCTGGGTTACTAGGGTCCTAGAAGGAAGAGAAAAAAGGGTTAATTAGGCTGAGAAAGTATTTGAAAAAATGACTGAAAATTTCCTAAATTTGGGTAAAAGACATAAATCTTTAGATTCAATAAACTGAACAAACTGCAACCAGGATAAAACCAGATAAAAGCAGTCCAACATCTGAAAACTAGGACAAAAAAAGAGAATCATGAAAGCAGTTAGAAAGAAATTCATTCTTGGAATTAAGAGAACAGTTGATGACCATATAATTACAGAAAACAGAAACAAAATAGTATTGACAAGGAGCTTAAATCTTTTACTTGTTGACTTCAACTTTTAATCTTCCATCTCAAAACTGAATTCAACTGAGCTAACAAAGCATTTGTAACAGTGTGATAGGGAACATTTGTCAATCTCATTCCTGCTTTAATGGACGGTACTTGTCCTTCAAAGCAAATAAAGGAATTTTAGAATTGGTATCTTTAAAAAAAAAAAGGGGGGGGGAACAAAGGAAATTTCTAGTTTGGGATTCTTCAAGATAGTTCAAGTCTGTGAACTCCCAAAATTAATGTAAAAATTTTGCATGCATGGGAATTTTTCTATAGGGAAAAAGATAATAGCTTTTTATCAAGATTCTCAACCGAGTTGGTGGCTAGTTTTAGAAGATATATTGCCCATAATGCCCATTAGAAATTACTGCATGCTACCTCAGAAGAGCTCTGATTTTAAGCTAGACTTAATAATGCAGCTCTCAAATTCATTCTAGGCACTTCTGGAAATAAATGTTCAATAAAGAATGCTTACACGGGCTTATTTTGAACATTTAAAGTATAGTACCTTCAAATGACTAGGCAACTGTGATTGAAGCATGATTTAGGTTGTTTTTCCTGTCCTGATTGATATATTCAGACTTGAACATTTTAGCACCAATAGCTAACAACTGTCATATAAATATAACATTTCTTTCTCTTTCAAAAAGAAAATATTCATAATTGAGGTCTGTTTATCTGAATGAAGAATATTAGTGCCTTCTCTGATAATAAAACAGCTATCTTTTTAAAAATATTTTTTAGGCCCAGGACTGAGACTTGAACTCAATACCTCACACTTTCATTCATTGGCCAGCACTCCACCGAATGAGCCATGCTTCCAACCCTGAGTCCATGTCTTGATAGTGTGGGTCTGTCTCACTACTTTTAACAGTCTCTCCTGCAAGTCAAATCAGCTCACTTGGAGAAATGCACCATTAATAAGACTTTCCTTGGTATGCCTGTTTTCTAAAGTTGAGACCTGTCATGACACAAAAAAAGCCAATTTATAAAAGATAATTCATTTAAAAACAAAAACAAAAACCTTGGCTACTTATTTTTAGCAAAACCTATGCTAATTTATTAAGAATACTTCATTCTGGCTATATGTTTGGAATCAAAAAAATCACTGTAGACTTTTATAACATGGAGTTCCACAACCATACCTCATTGTTATATAACCAAGATATAAAAAGTCCTAAAAGTTTTGTGGAAGCCTTGGAATAAACTATTGAGTTCTAGTAAGTTAGATTAGTCTTCATAAACCTATAATGGTATGCAAATTGTTTTAGGCTCTTGAGATAGACTCCATTCCTATTATGTGAGTGGGGTCTAAGAATGGACCTTTCTAACAATCCTCCAGGTAATGTTGTTAGCTTGAGGGTCCTTCAAGTTGTGAGGTCACAGTAAATGTGTTTTATTTAGCTGAAATGCAAATCAACTCAGGCCATTACATTTTCCTTCTGTCTGTGGATTTTCTACCACTGGCCTCTCGTATTTGATGATGGTCTTCAAGCTGATGATCAACTAAGAGAGAAGTACCATGCTGTTCTCTACTTGGCTTCTATAAAAATCTATGCAAACATAATATCCAAGATAAACAGAAATGGACACCGCACACTAACTTATAACATAATGGACTTATATTTAATAGAATACCTCCCATCACTGAGATATTAATTAATATAGAGGCTTTTGTGGTTTTTTGGGGGGTATTTTTTGTTTTCTTTACATTAAATCTCATCCATTTCAATAATAGCTTGAATACATTTTTTTAAACTTCCCCTTCCCCACCCCAGAGATAAAAGTTTCAATTTTTGGCTATTCAATATCTAAGTAAAATATTAACTTTAACAGATTAAAACAAAAGTAATCTAATACAAACACTGAGTAAAGAGTTCCTCAACAATTCAGGAGGCAGTGATTATAACTAAACCATGGTGATTTGCCAGATTCTGGAACAAAGCTTCCTTCTTTCCACTTCACATGCTTTTAAAATGTTTATGAAATACTACTTTTACAAACTTAAGCCTTCTTTCTTTCTTCTTTTTTTTTAAGCAGTGAATATAAATGACAGGCTGCATTTTTTTAGTGCATTATTTGTTATAAAAATTCCTCTCCCACCACATTTAATATATCTCTATTTGTTCCCATTTTATGGGAAAAGACTACAAATGTGAAATCATCCTATTTAGGTTTGCCGGGAACTTTGAGGATCAATCTTCAGTAAAGGTTTTGAGGGTGTCAGGGTGAAGTCTGCCATCCAAGGAGCCTTGCAAAAGTCACATCTGTCCATTTCTCTTTCTCGCATACACCCCTAAGCAAGCACAAATGCCTGTGATGCTGAGGACTACACCTAACAAGAGAGCAATTGCATCTCCGGCTTCTACTGCTTCCACACCAGGCAGAACCAAAAGCAGTGAAATGAAGACTACCAGCATCTGTGCAGAAATGGAGATCATGATGTTGGGGTCCTGAGGTCCAAAGGTTCCTAGAAACCAAGCATATTAAAAAGCATATTAAATCAAGCATCTTAAAAATTCTTATTTTTGCAAACGACAACAGATATCTACACATCATCAACCATCCACTACTCTTAACTTACAAGAGGTTATGATTCATTTCAGATCCATCTCCTCCTTTTACACATGAAAAAAACAAAAACAAACCTGTGGGAAGTACTGGTTATACTTGGACATTTGTGGCTAATCTCCCAACAACAGTCTAGCCCCATTAATTCTTCCCTTGTAATGTCAAAACTACTACCAAGTAAAAATGGAGCCACAGTAGTAGCCTAGTGAATAAAAGTGACATTCTCTTGGGATGTGGGGGGGGGGATAGTTCTTCTACCTGGAAAATGCTGACAAATCCGGCTAAAGTCACAGGACATGTAACTGTGAGGGTGTGAGCAAGTAGCAAGACTCACCAAGGAAATGGAATAGATAAAGTTCTATCCGAACTTCCTTCCTGGAGCTCCGGGTCCCGAGGCTAAGAGGTGACACGTGACACCACCTATTGGAGTAGAAAGGAAGATCTACACGTGAGTTCGGGCATCTTCCGCGGGGACTGGGAGCTCTGGGAACCAGTGCAGACCACAGTTCGCCCAAGAAGTGGGAACTACAGTTCAAGTTTATCGCTCCCACACAGAAGCAGCCCAAGTCACCCCGGCCGAGGCACACGTCCATCCCCAAGACGTGACACAAAGACTACAAGGAAAAAGAATCCATTCTTTGGCCCGGCAAGGTGCCAGTTGGTCCTGTTCTGTAAATACACCCGAGCGATCGGCGGCCGTACGTTACCTTCCAGGAAGCAGCCATTACCGGAATGGCGGGGAGGGCGGAGTCGCCAGACTACATTTCCCACAATCCCCGCGGCCCACAACTCCCGTGGCGCACCGCGCACTCTCCTGTCACTCACTGGCGCTGGGCAGCGCAGTTCTGCTCCCGCGAGGTCGTGAGGAAGCAGCCGCTGGGCTTCGTCGGCGCCGGCCCTTGTGTCCAAAACAATAGGTCGAGTGTATTTGTTGTAAAGTAAGGGTTAGCGGCGGATTAAACATCCTCTTCATCGCTGCTGCGTGTGGAAAGTGGGTTTGGAGCGTCTGTGGTAAATTCCTTTAAACTAGAGGCTCACAACGTTTCGGATGCAGGAAATTTCCTGTTACTCCAGATGTGCCCAATAACGTGTGTGTGCGCGCGCGCGTGCGTGTGTGTGTGCACGTGTGCGTGTGTGCGCGTGTGCGCGCGTGTACGTGCGTGTGTGCATGTGTGTGAGTGCGGGTGCGGGTGTGCATGTGCGCGCGCGTGCGCGCGCGTGTGTGTGTGTGTGTGCGTGCGGGTGCGCGCGCGGGTGCGTGTGTGCGCGCGTGTACGTGCGTGTGTGCATGTGTGTGAGTGCGGGTGCGGGTGTGCGCGCACGTGCGCGTGTGTGTGTGTGTGTGCGTGCGGGTGCGCGCGCGTGTGCGTGTGTGGGTGCGTGCGTGTATGTGGGTGCGTGTGTGCGCGCGCATGTGTGCGTGCTTGTGTGAGTGCGCGTTTGTGTGCGTGTGTGTGAGTGCGCATGTGTGTGCATGTGTGCAGGTGTGAGTGTGTGTGCGGGTGTGCGTGCGTGCGGGTGTGTGTGCATGTGTGTAGGGCCTGGCCACTGTTCCTGAGTCTCTTCCCTCAAGGCTGTTCCTCAACCACTTAAGCCATAGTTCTTCCTAAGGCTTTTTAAGTGGTTCATTGGAGGTAAGAGTCTCAGGGACTTTGCTTCTGGCAGGCTTTGAAGGTGATGCTCAGATTTCAGCCTCCTGAGTACCTTGGTTTACAGGTATGAGCATGAGCTATCAGCACCCACCTTCTTGTTGTTGATGTTGTTATTATCATTTTAAGCAGTGGGGAAAATAAGCAACAGAAAATAAGACATTTTGAAAAATGTCTGCATTAGTTGTTTTTACTGTACTGTGTGACTTTTTTTGCTGTTGTTTCTTTTGTATGTTATGGTATGGTATATCTCCTTTTGTCACTATTTGATTTTGGTGCCCTGCATCTTGTATATACATTTATCTAATTTGGGGAGGGGAAGGGGAATAACAAAATGCTGAAACGAAGACACAAGATGACCCATTGCAACAATAATTTCACAAGACACTATGTTGGAAATGAACTTTACAACTTGGGGTGGGGGCAGGGGAAAGGTGGGGGAGGGAAGGGATAGTAGGAGAAAAACAAAGGAGGGGGTAACAATGCTTGACAAGAAATTTACTGATCACCTTATGTTACTGTAACCCCTTTGTAAAACATCTTTACAGTAAAATAATTTTTTTAAGTTTGCACACATAGGCCTTCACCTGTTCTGAAAAGTTCTCAAATTTAATAACAATGATCATTAATCTTTCTACTGATCTGATATTCAGAATACTTTCCTATTCACTGACTTGAAAATAATTTGGCACTCTTCCATCATAAATTATTCCTGGTGCAAGGATAGAAGTGAAGTCTCCTGCAACATCCGGAAGTCCTGCAGATAGTAGAGAAATATTGTCCATACTCGATGTGTTTTGGTTTTGTTAGCTCTTTTCACATTTCTGCCTCTCTACACTGACAGAACAAAAAATATTCCTGGTTCCTAAAACATACCTAGCAGGTGCTTAGTACTATGAGCTAATAATTATTATTTGATTAGATAGATGTGCCAACAAGATTTTACAAGAGTCCAAGATGTGATAAATAAACCTCATCTGTCTGGCAAATTGAGGATAACTGTCAGCTTTGCTTCTGTAAACTTGATTATTTTAAAATGTTCTTGCTAATTATATTTGTCTCCAATTACATTTAATTGTGAAACTTTTTCTTTTGGCTATGCTGGGAATTGACTCAAGGCTTCACATTTGCACTTGCATTTGCATTCTGCTTCAGTAACACCTCCCCATGTTTCTCTATTGGATTATTTTCAAGGTATATAGGTATTGTCTCTTATGCCTGAGGTAACCTGGGCTGTTGGCCTCCTACTTGTGCTTACCCATGATGATCGGGATTACAGGAACATACTACTCTGTTTCCTTCTAAATTGAATGATATGTATGTACCACCATGACCAGCCATTGAATGAGAGAGTCTCCAGAACTTTTTTTTTCCCCACAGCTGGGATTATCCCATCTCCACTTCCTAGGTAACTAGGGTACAAGCATCATATATATATGTATATATATATATATATATATATATACACACACACACACATATAATATATATATATATATATATATATATATATACATGAAGCAAGCAAATGCATTGAAATAAAAATTCCATGAGAGGCAAGAAATGTTTCTATTTTGTTCACTACTTGGTCCTAGCCTGAGAAATATGTAATAGCTATTTTGTGAATGAATGAATGAGTTTAATATAAGATTGTTTTATGAATGAATGAGGTTAGTATAAGACCAAAATTGGTTAATATTTAGTCACTATTTATAGCAGAAACTACCTAACAAGTAAGAAAATCTGCTTGAGTACTAAATCAAGAGGATATTAAAGTGAAGTTATATTGTGTCTTCATTCAAAATTGGGTCTCATTTAAGTTTTCCTTACGTTATTGATACAAGATTATATATACATATTTGTAAATATCTAAATAAAGACTATTCTTTGGTCTGCCCTTGTAGTAGACCATGATTTTGACAACAAATATATTGATTGAGATCATTGAAATTACTATACTTAGGGTGATCAAATCCAGAATTTAGATTTTCAAGTCAAGAAAAATCTAAACTAACACCATATTTCACTAAAATGATTACTAGTAACCAAGATACTCAGAGACAGAGCATTGCTTTAGTCCCTTAACTGAATGGCTGATAAAGAGCAAATTTCCCAATCAACCGTTACCAAGAAACAGCTTCAGCAACGAAAGGAAAAGTACTTCTCATTTCATAACCCTAAGAAGTGACTCATTGCAAGGCCCTGAAGGAAGGTACCTCTGGGATCGATCAGAGGAGGCGGGATAGCCTGACATCGGGGTTTTGCAGTGACTAGTGGGTGTCAGGAAATTCATAAACCCCACTTCTCATTAGCAAATGAGCTAGGCTAAGTGAGTGGAAACATTTTAATGGAATTTCACAATGATAAACCACTAGCCAGGTGCTGGTCAACATTTCCCATCTTCCCACCTGTAACAGGATAGAACATTATGTTTGTTTAATCATTTGAGTAGCAGAGTGGGATAAGCTATATTTTCCAGAGCTCTTGGATTGCAAGGAAGGAAGGAAGGAAGAGAAAGGAGGGAGGGAGGGAGAAAGGAAGGAAGGAAAGAAAGAAAAGGAAGAGAGGGAATAACCAATCTGGTAAAGCTAAATATCTCTTGTGCTAGTATTTTACAGAGGAACATAGGAGAATGCCAAAAGGTCTTTTTTGACATGCTTTTCTGAAGCCCATGGTGATGATCTAAATTATAGATCTACACACAAACCCATATTATGAAGGGAGATAGAGGAACTCAAGCCATAAGTATAAAAGATTCAAATCTTATTTCTATTGCTGTGTTTGTGGGAATTTGTTAAGAGTGCCTGTATGGAACAAATAGGTTTTGAAAAGTTGAGAAATTATCTCTCTATTATAGCATTTTATTCATTATAACAGATTTAGAACAGAAACTCTGGAAAATACCACTGTTTGGCCTCAAGTTCACCTCTGCCATGTTTTAACATTGTGAATTCCTACAAATTATCCAATTTCTTATTTTATTGTATTTTAAATTTGTATACATTTATCAAATGCATGAATACAGTGTACATCAAATCAGTATAATTAGCATTCCTGTTCCCCCAAACACTTAGAATTGCTGTGCTGGGAACCTTGAGATTCTTCTCTTCAAGTTAGTTTGACATATTTAATAATAAAATTTTTAAACTACTGTGTTATAAGCCATTAGAACATTAGCTGCTATATAGCTGTATTTGGTGACTGTTAGCCTACAGTTGTTTCCCTGCCTTTTTCCCTTTAGATCCTGTAGTGACCACTAGTCTATTGTTGTATTATTTACCCCCTGCAATCAAGGTTTTTTTTAAGTTTCTGTAAATGAGTGAACATAGGTCATATTTGTCTTTCTTTGCTTTGCTTTTTTTGCTTAAAATGGTGTCTTCCAGTACACCAATGATGCCAAAAATGACTTCTTTATTTTTTATGAGTAGATATTTCATTATGTATGTATACTTTATTTTTATTTTTTAATTTTTTTGTATGTATACTTTATTTTTAAAAATCATCTATCAAGGAACAACTCATATCCTGGCTGTTATACACAGTACTTGAGTATGCATAGAAGTACAGATATATCTTTGATATAAAGGTTTTGTGTCTTTTGATTATGTGTCACTACTGGGATTTCTGGATTGTATGATAGATATATTTTCAATTTTTTGAGAAACTTCTGTATTGTTTCTCCATAATGGCTGTGCTAATTTACTTTCTCACTGAGAGGATTTCAGAGTTTCCCTTTCTCTGTGTGCACAGTGTTTTCAATTTTTTTG